AATTTTGGTAGCAAATTTTATTTGCTTGGGAATTGGTTTGTTTAACCTAGTTTATCCCCCAAAAAAATTAATTCTAAATTTGTTTCTCATGAACTAGGAGTCAACATGCTCTTGAAAGTTTTGTCTAAAATTCACTGTGTCTTAAGTGAGACCGGTGTGACCCCTCCAGTCTTTCTAGAAACTTTTCTGACCATGTTCAATCTAGGGTAAATGGTGAAATCAATTTTGAATTAAACTTCAGACTTTGGGATTTTCTAATGTTAAGTTTAGTTTATGGAAAAACATAATAATGAAATTCTGTTGTGATTTTTCAGAAATGGCTTCAAAAAGTGACAACAGAGATGTTGTTCCACCTGCCAACCTTAAAGCCTTGCAAGGTTCTTAAAGAAAGATCTAAAGAGATCAAGTGTGATTAAAAGAAATCATAAGATTGCATAATAATATCTCTGAATCAATCAAAGGCGATTAGTATGTTATCCTTGTGTCAATTATAGCATATACGACTGTGATGTGACTTTGCTTAAAAGAAAAGCTGAGACAACCCGTTAGGGTGGGTGAATATATTTTTAAATTTTTTAATTCCAAAAATATTCTTAAATTGGTGACTCCTAGTGAGTACAAGATCACTGATCACTGAGATAGAAAACTAGTGGTTCCTAGGAGGTGTTAGACCACTGGCTACATAGTTATGAAATTGTGGTTCCTAGTAGTGAACAGATTATTGATCACATGTCAAGACATGATGGTTCCTAATAGTGTAAAGGCTACTGATCATATGTCAAGATATGATGATTCCGAGTAATGAAAAAGTCTATTGATCCTACATTAGGACGTTGTGATTCCTAGTGGTAAAGTGACTACTGATCACAGGTTAAGACATTGTGATTCCTAGTAGTAGAAAGTCTACTGACCACATGCTGAGAAATTAGTGATTCCTAGTGATAAGACTACTGGCTATATTATGAAGTTCCGAATAGTAGATTATTGAACACTGGATTTGTGTTTCCTAATAGTAACACTATTGGCTTCATTGAACCAAATATGTTTGGATGCTTAATTCAGTTGATGACATTTTGGGAATGTATTTATTGTGATATGATTTTGAGAGTTTCATAATGGGAAAATTATTGATAAATCTCATTTAGATGTGTTTTAACCAAAGAAGTCCATAAAGGAATTTTTTAACCCATTTAGTCCCATATATGTATAGTTTTATTTCATAAAGTCCTTTTTCTTAATTTACACTATTTTCTTGGACACTTATGCCCTTATATTTAATTTTGATACCCTTATAAATATTTTTTGAACGGTTAACAATTTTATGATGTGAACATTCATATTTTAAAATTCACATTGGTAGGAATGTAAAATTGGCTCGTGGGCAGCCCGAAACCCGTCTGCGAGCCGGGGCGGGCCTGGCCCGTTGACAATGTAAATATTCACATTGACATGTTAACATTCACATTAATAGAAGTGTAAAATTGGCCCCCGTCCTGTGGTGGGGCAAAACCCACCCGAGGCCCATGGGCGGCCCGGGACGGGCCCGGTCCAGCCCGTTGACAATGTGAATATTCACATTGACATGTTAACATTCACATTGATAAGAGTATAAAATTAGCCCGCGACCCATGGGCGGCCAAAAGCCCGCCCGCGGCCTAGGGCGGGCCCGGCCCGGCCCGTTGACAATGTGAATATTCACATTGACATGTTAACATTCACATTGATAAGAGTGTAAAATTGGCCCGCAGCCCGTGGGCGGCCCGAAGCCCGAGGCGGGCTTGGCATGACCCGTGACAATGTGAATATTCACATTGACATGTTAACATTCACATTGATAGGATTGTAAAATTAGCCCGCGCCCTGTGGCTGCCCGAAACCCACCCACAGCCCATAGGCGGCCCGGGGCGGGCCCGGCCCGACTTGTTGACAATGTGAATATTCACATTGACATGTTAACATTCACATTGATAAGAGTGTAAAATTGGCCCGTGACCCAAGGGCAGCCCGAAGCCCGACCTCGAGCCGAGGCGGGCCCGGCCCGTTGGCAATGTGAATATTCACATTGGCATGTTAACATTTACATTGATAGGAATGTAAAATTGGCCCGCAGCCCATGGGCAGCCCGAAGCCAGATTGCAGACCGAGGCGGGCTTGGCCCGACCCGTGACAGTTTAGAGAAATTCTGTGATTATAATCTGATTATTTCCAAAGTGCTTTCGTTTACAATCTGATTATTTCCAAGGTGTTTTGGTTTTGAGAAATGAAACCAAATTTTAGCATTAGCTAAAATATTTCTGAATTTATTCAAAAATAATGGGCTCAGGTCCAGGAGTACCGATTAACTTTTATGAGTGGTGTAATTTTAGTAGCAAATTTTATTTGCTTGGGAATTGGTTTGTTTAAACCTAGTTTATCCCCTAAAAAACTTAATTCTAAATTTGTTTCTCATGGACTAGGAGTCAACATGCCATTGAAAGTTTTGTCTAAAGTTAATTGTGCCTTAAGTGGGACCGATGTGACACCTCCAGTCTTCCTAGAAACTTTTCTGACCATGTTCGATCTAGGGTAAGTGGTGAAATCAATTTTGAATTAAATTTCAAACTTTGAGATTTTCTAATGTTAAGTTTAGTTTATGGAAAAAAACATAATAGTGAAATTATGTTGGGATTTTTCAGAAATGGCTTCAAAAGGTGACAACAGAGATGTTGTTCCACCTGCCAATCTTAAAGCCTTGTGAGGTTCTTAAAGAAAGATCTAAAGAGATCAAGTGTGATTAAAAGAAATCATAAGATTGCATAATAATATCTCTGAATCAATCAAAGGCGATTAGTATGTTATCTTTGTGTCAATTATAGCATATATGACTGCTATGTGACTTTGCTTAAAAGCAAAGCTGAGACAACCCATTAGGGTGGGTGAATATATTTTTAAATTTTTTAATTCCAAATATATTCTTAAATTGGTGGCTCCTAGTGAGTACCAAGATCACTGATCACAGAAATAGAAAACTGGTAGTTCCTAAGAGGTGTTAGACCACTGGCTACACAGTTATGAAATTGTGATTCCTAGTAGTGAACAAATTACTGATCACATGTCAAGACATGATAATTCCTAATAGTGTAAAGGCTACTGATCATATGTCAAGATATGATGATTCCGAGTAATGAAAAAGTCTATTGATCCTATGTTAGGACGTTGTGATTCCTAGTGGTAAAGTGACTACTGATCACAGGTTAAGACATTGTGATTCCTAATAGTAGAAAGTCTACTAATCACATGCTGAGAAATTAGTGATTCCTATTGATAAGACTACTGGTCATGTTATGAAGTTCCGAATAGTAGACTATTGAACACTGGATTTGTGTTTCCTAATAGTAAGATTATTGGCTTCGTTGGACCAAATATGTTTGGATGCCTAATTCAGTTGATGACATTTTGGAAATGTATTTATTATGATATGATTTTAAGAGTTTCATAATCAATGTGACACAAGAAATTGTTTAAAAAAATTTTGGACAAAGCCAAAAGCGTTTTTATAAATTCTACAAATGTGGAGGTATCATGCAAAAGCCCGTAATACCTAAACCCAAGAGGGTTAGGATAAGCCTAAAAATCCGTTGACTTTGTATTCAACGGTTATGCAAAATATAGCAGTGCATATCAATTTCTTGTGTTTAAATCTCCTATTCTAAATATACACTAGAATACTATCATGGAATCCAAAATGCATATTTCTTTGAAAATGTATTTCCTTGTTACAAGAAGGGGTTCTGAGTTCCATGAAAGATGTTGAAGGTGGCAATGATCACATAGCTGATCAACCAGATGATCACTTAGATAATCAAGCTGAGGATGTAAATAAGCCAAGAAGGGGTAAGAGGGCTAAGACTGCAAAGCCCTTTGGTCCGGACTTCTTGACTTATATGTTAGAGGAAGAACCTCGAACTTTCTATAAAGCTGTGACTTCATCTGAAAGTCCTTTGTGGAAAGAAGCAATTAAGAGTGAGATTGACTCCATTTTATAGAACCATACTTAGGAGTTGGTTGATCTACCCCCAGGTAGTAAGGCCTTAGGGAGTAAGTGGATCTTTAAAAGAAAGATGAAAGCCGATGAGTCAATTGATAAGTATAAAGCTAAACTAGTTATCAAAGGATACAGGCAGCGCAAATGCCTAGATTATTTTGATACGTATTCACCTGTGACAATCTATTCACATGGTAATTGCGATAGTAGCTTTACGTGGTCTAGAGATACATCAGATGGATGTAAAGAACAGAGATTTAGATGAAGAAATTTACATGGAGCAATCATCGTAACTCGTCAAAAGACAATAAGTAATCCCCGCAAATGACTCTCATTGCTCTCTCCACCCCCAACCACACAACATAGTAACTTATATCCAACCCATAGTCCTGCCTCAAAATATCGACCACCTTACACAGGCGAGTCAACGGCTTATCCCTAACAATTTCAGAGATAATAGTCAATACCAAATTAGAATTGACTCTCGGATTCTTTGGCGTCCGGACATCCGTACCACAGCTATGCACGTTAATTAACCTCTTAATGTAGAAAAATCTATTAACTCAGTGTACTCTACAATGTATAACCCAAGGACAACCCCTATCCTCGCGCATCACACACGATAACCCTCGCTCTCTCATTCTTTGCATACTTAAATTGGAACCCACATTGAATTGCATACTTGAATAAAATATCACGAAATTCTTCAGCACCCCTACAAACTGTTGTCTCGTGTGTAATACCATCAGCCCCTTCTCTTTATGGTGGCAAAATCTTTGAAGCACATTTAGTTTCTTCCACACCCCCCACCCCCACGTAGCGAACCAAAGCTATTAGACTGACCAATTTCACTTTTTAATTCAACATTAACTTCTACATGTTGAACCCCCATTGATTTGGCAAGTAATAACATACTTGCTTTGAAACTCATCATCATTGTCTTACACCTATTAATCCTAAGTAACCGATAGAACAGTGAAACACAATCAACAGATAATTTGCTCCATTTTCCACACACAAACTCCACAAAACATGAACAAGACAGTGTTCGCATCACAATTATTACAATTGTTTTGCGCGCATATATGCACACCAACAATATGAAGGTAATCTATCTGCTGCAAAAAAACAAAAACAAAGAAATTAACCAAATTATAAACACCCAAATACTACAAAAAAAAACTTACACTCGATATATAAACATGCACATCATGCAAAAAAATAACTATGTTCATATTTTCTATTGTTAATCCCAAAACTGAACACTTTGTTGCCATAACTACACATCATTATAGATTATACAAGTCTAAATTCACATCACTAAATATAATGATAATAAACAACATGCAAACATCTTCCCATAATGTTATAACTAATATTATGTGAACGTTCAAATAGTTCACACGATGTGTTCATTCACATTGTTAAACAATGTGAATAATCACCACAGCAAAAAAACAAAGCCATATTTGAACGCATTAACAGACAAACCGTATAACCCACTCAACCAACCAAAACTTGCATCTCCATCTAATCTAGATAATGACGTTGAAAGCAAACAATAGAGCATACAATCTTTTATGTACATTCACATTGTTCATGCGATATGAATATTCATCATATTAAAAAAACATAGCCATATCTCAAACATCAGTGAAATCCTAACACAACCAAGAATCATACAACGTATCAACTCACAACGACATTGAGGCCAAGTTTGGGAAGACTAAAAAAGTGCACTTTTTGTCTTTTTGAACTAAAAAATTGAGATTGAAAATATGGATGTTTGGGTTAACTTTTTGACTTTTTATTGAAAAATGTGTAATAAAAAATTGTAAAAATTGATTTGTAGGGAAAAATTTGAATTGGGAGTTGTGCAGCTGTAATTGTTGACTTTTGGTGAATAGTGTTAATTTTTTAACTTTTTGAGTAACTTTTTGACTTTTTGACTTTTTTAGAAGTACCCAAACTTGGCCTGAAATTGGATGACAATCAATATCCTGAATCATAAAAACTATCAAAACATAATGATAGTCAAACGTATTTATTTTTTTATGTATAACATATATCAGTATTAAATATAAGGATATAAGAGTCCAACAAAATAATATAAATCAAGACGAAAGATCTTATGGAATAAAAATATAAAACACATGATTAGAATACTCCTAAATGAAATTTAACAATAAAATCCCAAAACAAAATATCACATCAAACTTATAATTATTTTATTTTTTTTCTCACAAATATCATATTTAATTATAAAAAAATTTAATCATTTTTCTAAACATAAATATTTTAACCTATTAAAATAATTAAAAATTAAAATAACCTACTAAAATAACTAAAAATTAAAATACATGACAAATTTCAAAGTAGGGTTGGTAATTTGTTCAATAAAATAATATACAACCATTAACACAGCATTAGGCTTTTGAAATATCTTTGAGATCCAAAGCGCCACTAGGTGAAATTATTACTGGTTCCATACATTTGTATATACTGTAAACTCGGTTCAATATGAATTAGATTAAAACTCAAATAAAAACGTTTCAATAGATAAACAAATTAAACTATTAAATTTTCAAATTAAATCTCAACCTAATTCATAACAGCACTCAAACAAGATTACAAATTAAGATTGACCCAAATTTCCAACCACAACAAAAATTTTAAAATATTTACCTGTATATATTTTTGAGGCTCAGATCTATATATAATCAGGCAAGAATCCGGAAACGCCATGGCTGCAACAACAATTGACCGTGAGAGAAGAAACAATGGGAACCCATATCTCTCTATCTCTCACAGACCCTAAGAGTTGCCCCGCCAAGAAACGGGTCGGGTTCTCAGTGCCCGACTCATGTGCTCAGAAGAAAATACATCGTCACAGCCTCTCTTTGTTCCGCCGGAGGCAGCGCTTGCGGAGGGTTAAGTTTTTGTGCTGCAATCAACAGCCTCTAACCCTATCGTAAGGACTGCCTAAACATTTTTTTTATTTTTTATTTTCATTTCTTTTGGGGAAGTTGTTTGGGTGTAAATAGAATTTCCTGCGAGAAGAAGATGGAGAAGATCCAATCTTCGACTCGCAAACACACACACACACAGAAAAAGAGAGTGAATGTGTGCGTGAGAGAGAGAGAGAGAGAGAGGAGGGCTGTTGATTTGGGAGGTGAAATCATCGGCTCAGATGATCTTTGATCTGATCATCTTTTGTGTTGCAGAGAGGGGCAACCACCCTCAAAAACGTCCCAATCTCTCTGCTGGGAGCCTCATTCATTCTTTGAGCCTAAACCCTAATTGATGTCAACGAAGCTATTTATTTGTAGTGCATCATCATTTAAGATTACTTTTCTACCCTTTCTTTGACCACTTAGAACATCTCCACCATTGATGTCTTGCTTGGGAACATATTGTTTTAATAATTTTTTATAAAAAAAATTAAAAAAAGTAATATAATAATTTATAATGACTTTTTAATTATTTAATTTAACACAGTTCACTCAAATATTAAAATTATAATTTTCATTATATTTTTTCACATCTCAGATATCTTGAAAGTTGTCCAGAAATGAACAAAAAAAGTTACCAAATTGCCTTAGGTAGATATCCAGGCGGACATTCAATCAAACGGTGACAATTTAAATTCGACGAAAGATCAAACCTCCCTCTATTAGATGAAATATCTGATTCTTCCTCTATTTGATATCATTTTGATGAAAACGTTGGAGTGCACTTTTATAAAAAAAATTCATCAAATTTGAATTTAATAACATATTTGAGTAAGGTTGAAGATGGTCTTAGAGCATCCTCAACCTAAAACTTTCAATTAGATGATAAAAATATATTTTTTTATTCAAAAAGTGAATATAAATTATCTTATTATTCACTCAAACTCTAACCGCAAATAATTTATTTTTTCTTTAAAGATTTTCCTCCAAAATATTTTCATCAAAAAAATGAATAATTTTTATTCATAAATAAATATTTAAATTTCAAATATTTGTTAAATGTATTTAATATTATACTCAACGTCCTCCTATTTTTTGTTTGGCCATTTCATGAGAAGTGAAAGGCTGATATCTAATAGCCAACTCAAACGGATTAAGGCCGATTGTTGAGGACCGATGCATCTTGTCACAGAATTGTGCATTATCAAGCAGGTCTACCCAATTTTTTTGACTTGCTGTGACATAGTGTCTCAAATATTCCTCTAACAAAGCATTCATGCATTCTGTTTGCCCATCCGTCTACAAGTGGTTTGCTGTGGAAAATTTCAATTCTTACCTCATCAATCCAAACAACACTATCCAAAACTGTTCGATGAAATGAGTGTCTCAATCACTTATAATATCCTCTGACAACCCAAAGTTCTTCATCACATTTTTGAAAACACAACACTGTAGCCATGTCAACTGGGCATGCATGTGGTGCGGGAATAAAAACAAAATACTTTGAGAAACGATCAACAATAACAAAAATGGAACGCATATCGTCCACCTTAGGCAATCCCAATATGAAATCTATGGAAATAGAAACACATGGCCTTGTTGGAATAGGAAGAGACTGCAACAACCAGCTTCTTTCTTGCGTTTTGTTTTGTCTAGTTGGTAGATCAAACATGTCTTGACATAAATCTCAATGCCATCCTTCATCTTCGACCAATAATAAGAATGAGATAGAAGGAGCCAACATCCACTTCATACCAAGGTGACCAGCCCACTGCGAATCATGTGTTTCTCGAAGTAATTCCTATCTAAGTCCTCCATTGCTAGAGACAAACAACCTATCCCTTTTAGCATAGAGAAGGTCATCTTCCAATCAATATCTATGAACAATCCCGTTCTTGACTTGTTGTACCAACTTTTGATAAGCGACATCTCTAACAACATTTTCTCTAATTATGTTCAACAGATCTGACTCCACGAAAAAAATGGCAGCCACATATTCCTTACCTACCTTTCTACTCAATGCATCTACAACCTGGTTGTGATGTCTTATGCTTTCACTCAAAGTCATACTTCTCTAAAAACTCCTGCCATCAAGCTTGTTTAGGAGACAACTTTTTTTCTGCGTTTTGAATAAAGTATTCGCCACATTATCTATTCGGACTTGGAACTTGGTTCCCAACAAATAAACCCTCAAGATGAGAAAACAATGTACCACTGTTGTCATTTCTTTCTCGCAGGCTGAATAATTTTTCTCTGCAACATCTAACTTGCGACTTTCAAAGGCAACTAGGTGCCCCTCCTATAGCAAAATGCAGCTAATAGCTTTGTTTGATGCGTTAATATGCACTTCAAAAGGAAGTTCAAAATCCAATAACCGTAACACCAGCTCAGTTGACACTGCCACTTTTAATTTGTCAAAGGCTGCTTGACACTTCTCACTCTAACCATAAATCATTATTTTTTTCTTTAAAGATTTTCCTCTAAAATATTTTCATCAAAAAATGAATAATTTTTGTTCATAAATAAATATTTAATTTTCAAATATTTCTTAAATGTATTTAATATTATACCCATTTTAAAGGTATGGTTTCATTTTTTTTAATGATACTAATTTTATAAAAAATAAATTTACATATTAAAAATTATTTGTAATATATTCAAAAATATAAAATGAATAGTATTTTGGAGAACAACCTTTATTTTTCATCATCCCTCTATATTTGGAGGATGAATCCAGCATCCTCTCCAATAGAGGGAGTTTTAGAGAATCGATTGGAGTGCAAAATCCTTCAAATTTGAAGATTTGAAGGATAAGTTGGAGATGCTTGTATTTACATCTATTATGATAGGGTGAATGTTGTTAGGGTGAGGTGATTTTAGACATTGGGTAAGCATTATCTCATTTGGTAACATTATGAATAAGTTGTTTGTTAACTTATTTGAGTCATATTATCTCTATATTTTTTTACACATTTTTTTGATAATAAGTAAAAAAATCAACTTATAAGTCATACTCAAAACAACCCATAGAAGGATTGATGAGGAAAATGGTTTAAGTGAAAAAGCTTCTAGGGTAAAAGTGATGGAATCAATGTCAAAGTTGTGTTTTAATTGATATTTTTATTGCTATATTGATTACTATTTTTTTTTATATGGCATAATTGTTTTTAATAATTTATTTAGAAAATTATTAGGAAAAATTAGAGAAAGATTCCTCTACATATTTGTGTGAGAGTTTAAGTACAATCACAATTTATTTGGTAATTAAAGTCTTAAGATTTGAAATTCCACGAAGATAAAGACAAATTTCAACATAAATGTCAAGAATGCCCTTTTAATAATTGGTACCATGAAATTCCAACGTCATCTCTCTTCATTGTAGACAAGTTGTATTTTGTAATGTGTTTCAAAACTTTAAAATTTAATAACTTTTGATTTGAAACTCTATATTTTGTAAAATTTATATATTTGGAATCGTCTCGTCGAGATCTATCAAATAAGATTCATGATGAATATGAAATTTTGAAAAGAAAGAAAATTCACCGAGTCCTATTACTAAAAGTCAAATAAATTTCGCTGATTTCTCAATTGTTTATTTTCTGAAACTTAAAGTCAATTACAGTGACATTTAACTAACTTTAGTGAAATTTCTCTAACTTCAGTCAGTGAAATTTTAATTTTTTCTTTTGAATTTCATATTCGTTATGAATCTTGTTTGATAGATTTTTGATGAAAAGATTCTAAAAATAAAAATTTTATTAAAAAAATCAATATGTAAATAAAAAGTAGATGAATTTTGAAGATTTTAAATCATTCTAAAGATACCATAACAAACAATTAGTGCTATGATACTTGGTCCTAAAATGACGTTGGAAGTCTTAGAGGAGCGGAACTAAAAAAGTTTTTTCTTATGTCCTTAAAATGTTTTTGAATTTTAAAGTTTTTAAATCATTCAAAAGATATCATAACAAACTATTAGTGCTATGGTACTTTGGTCCAAAAATGACATTGGAAGTCTTAGAGGAGTTGAACTAATTTTTTTTTTCTTATGTCCTTAAACTACTAAAAGCTTATGATGACGGAACTAAAAATAAAATTCCCTTTTTAGATTAAAGGGATGTTAAGAAACATGTTGAAATTGCCAAAAATTTAATACAAAAATCAATTTATTCTCTATTTTTGTACACGTCTCTTCATAAAATGTTAAAAAAAGTCAATTTCCAAATGAATTAATGTTTTAGTTAAAAAGTCAAAAAATTAAAATATTCATATAAAAAAAATCAAAGATTCTTTCTTTCTACTTTTTGCTCATTTTTCATTAAAAAATAATAATAATAATATTTCAAAAACTTCCTAAATTTTAAGCTTATATTTTAGCAAAAAATAAAATTAAAAAAAAAATTCACTAAAAATCAAATCTCAAACGAATGCGAAGAGTTTTGAGTTTATTGACTTACTAACACTTTTATGCTTTTTATTAGATGAAAGACACAATTTAAAATTTAAAATATATACATGATAAATAAAATATTGAAGAAGGTAAATTTTGGTAATAGCTAATTTTAGTGGTTTTTTTTTTTTTTTGGTTTTTTAAAATTAAAATAAAATTGACGAGTTTAAGAATTGTTAAAAAAAATTACTTTTTGTCAATGATAATAAGGGAATTTTTAACTTTTTTTTTAGTTTTTTTAAGCTCCTTGTAGGCAGACTATGGTTTTCTTTTTATTTTTAAAACAGACTTATTTAGCTGTAAAATTACTTTTTTTGCTTATTGCAAGTATTTTTTAAGACTGTATTTGGATTATGGATGTAAATAAGAATTATTTTTAAAATTTATTATGTAGCTATATGTTATATAAAAATAAGGGTCAGTTTCTCTCATATTGATATCTCAACATAAAGGAACATGAAGAGCCGGCATAAGGTTCTTACCATGGGTCTTATTTTGATGATCTTAATTGTTCATTTTATAGAGCCTCGATATATATTATCCATGACAAAAATTAGTTCGATCTAATAATTATAATATTTTCATTTTATTATATTTGTCTCTGGAAAAAATAGACAACAAATACATATTTGAAATAAACCATCTATTTTTTTAGAGATAAATGTGATAAAATAAAAATATTACGATTATTGAATTGACCTAAATTTTTTCATAGACTACATTGAAGACTTTACAAAATGAACAGTTTGGATTATCGAAATAAGACCTATAATAGGCCTTATAGGCCCATCAAATTCTCTCATGTTGAGATCTTAACATAAGGATAATAAATGAACCAAACAGCTCAAGCTCGACTCATGCGGTTCGTTAAAAACTCATTCACGCTCAATTCGTTAAGTAAACAAGCAAAA